AGATGAACTAAACAATTCTCTTTCTGGCTCAGAGTGCATAGGTTAAGCTTATGGGTCAGTCATGTGATGAACGAATGACTCGAAAAACCCGAAGACTCGAGAGATGAACTAATCAATTCTCTTTCTGGCTCAGACTGCATTGGTTAAGCTTATTATGATGACGTGCCTCCGTGTGGGCACGTTATGATGACGCAGAAGGGCACTTCAAGAAACAGTTGTTTGGTCCCCTACACCCTTCAACCCTTCGAAGCTCTCACTCCGAAGGGTAAACCCTTTGAAGGGATTAGGGCATAGGGATGAGCCCTTCCGAATGGAACGAAGGGTAATTCCAGTACAGAACCTATAGAAAAAACAGAGCAATGCCTAAAAGCTGCTATGTGACAAGGTGTACAGTAAACAAGCTAAAACACCCAGAACTACGTTTTTGTAAGCTGTCGACCCAAAAAACGCGCGTTTAGGACACAAATAGTTGTAGATGTTGGTGTATTTCACGTTGGGCCATTCAGTTGGATCATTTCTCAAACAAAAGGAAGGTTAGGAAAAGGGGCACTGACATAGACCAATAAAATTTAGTTTCTTAATATACAGTATCTCCTCCCCTCAGATTCACATAGGGTGGTGAAATAATCCTTTGACATGGTTAAAAATAATGAATGGTCTTGTCGTCGATTACGTTTCCCTCCAGTGTTTTTTTGGGTCGACAGCGTATAAAACGTAGTTCTGGCTTTTTTAGCTTGTTTACTGTACACCTTGTCACATAGCAGCTTTTAGGCATTGCTCTGTTTTTTGTTATAAGTCAGAAATGACAAGGAGGCAGCTTCCCGCAATAGAAAGTCAATGGAGAGCGTTGGATTGTTTCCCCCCCGGTGGGTGTGGTCTTCAGATTATGACACATTGTGCTCTGTCTCAGTCACGTGACTTTTTTTTGCGGCCGCCATCTTTAGGACCTTGTGTAGCCTCTCCTTAGTGATCGGATACCAAAATAACACTTCACCAACAACGGAAAACAATGGTATTAAAAAAAAAAAAGATACTTTAGGATTAGATCCTTATTTACTGTCAAGTGAACTGCTGACTCCACTAAAGTCTAGTTAAACCTTACCAATTTGACGTTTGCTGATAGGCTATTTAGATCTACCTCATACACAATCCCTCTCCGTACACTCGGGCCATTTTCAGTAAAATTTTCAGCTGCTAGAGACTTGTCCATCGGCCCGGATCCATCTGCCGCCCCCGACCTGGATGCCTGTGTACTCACTTTCAGATTCTGGGCTGAATCAACCGGACCAGATGCGACAGCCGTAACTTGACGACACTGCCATGACGCGAGCGTGTGGCGGCGCTGACCCAGATCCGGCGTAATGACGTCATCACGCCGGATCTGGGTCAGCGCTGGCGCCGCCACACGCTCGCGTCATGATACTGTCGTTATTTTTGTTTTCTTTGCGCAAAAAAGTGTTCTCGTAGCTTCGTAACTTTACATTTGAACCACTGATGTCACACGGATCTACTTTGTCGATCATTGCTATTTACATCTACCTCATACACAATCCCTCTCCGTACACTCGGGCCATTTTCAGTAAAATTTTCAGCTGCTAGAGACTTGTCCATCGGCCCGGATCCATCTGCCGCACCCGACCTGGATGCCTGTGTACTCACTTTCAGATTCTGGGCTGAATCAACCGGACCAGATGCGACAGCCGTAACTTGACGACACTGCCGCATCCAAGCCGGACTCGGCAGACTTAGCCCAGTTTCATTTCTATATCTACTGTACTGTTCATTAACATTTCATTTAAAATTGATAACGTTACCTAGACAAAACGTTTACTTTCATTTTAATTATATAGATTATATAATATAATAGACAGCGAAACCGGAGTTTTTGGCTTGTGACGTCGGAGCATGCACCGATATCTCCGCCTACTGGAAACTTTTTCAGGCTTCTGATTGGCCAACGTGGCTTTACAGTTGAGGTTATATCGCCACCTGTCGGTTTGGCATGCTCTTGACAGTGCTTCATAGCACGCGTTTGCGTTTTCATGTGGATGGAGTTTTTTTTTTAAATGGAAGAAAGAAAAACTCTTTTTTATAAAACTCGTTTATAAAAATACCCGTGTACGTTTGGACATGGCCCAAGTGTGCTGCACAAGTCTTGAAAAGTGAAGCCAAAACGTTTCGATCGCCCCCAGGTGGCTGGTCCCAGTGTAGGTCATAAACCCCGCCCTCTCCATGTAATCTAATGGGACGTGAGACAAACTAAACAATACAATTTCACTTCAAATAAAATAAGGTTTTTGTCATTTTATGTAGCTTTTTATCACGCTGATGTAAGTTCAAGTGTTTACAATATGTCCTCTCCCTATTGGGACATTGGCGGCTTCACTTTTATTCAATGGAATATTCATACTTATTCATACTTTGAAGGGAGAGGTTATTATGTGAGTATAGGAGAGCGAAACTTGTTCATGCCTTTATCACCAGCAGGGTGGACTATTGTAATGGTCTTCTCACCGGCCTTCCCAAGAAGACCATTAGACAGCTGCAGCTCATCCAGAACGCTGCTGCCAGGATTCTGACTAGAACCAGAAAATCTGGGCATATCAAACCAGTCCTCAGGTCCTTACACTGTCTTCCAGTTACATTTAGGATTGATTTTAAAGTACTTTTACTCGTAAACTCATCTGTTTAGCTGTGCATTTATTGAATGAGTTCTGTGCGATGTCCGAACTGATTGCACTGTATTTTATGTATTGCACTGTATTTTATGCAACCCGAAATTATTGCACTGTATTTTATGTATAATCATTTTCTATTTTTAACTGTCTTAAATTCATTTTAAATCAATTTTAAAATCATTTTCAACGTTTTTAAATTGCTTGTTTTATTTGTGATTATTTTACTTTCTTTTATGTAAAGCACTTTGAATTACCATTGTGTACGAAATGTGCTATATAAATAAACTTGCCTTGCCTTGGAAGAGAGTGAAGGTGCGTCATCCATCTTTTTTCAAACCCTGTGGAGCAAACATTCAAAGTCTGCAACTAAACTTTCCGTTATTTGTTTTTAAAACCTGTTCCATCTGCCATGTCACTTTTGGCAATGTAAAGTTTTTACAGCAGTTAAAATGAGTTACACTTTATTATTATTATTATTATTCATTGTTAAACCACATATTGGGTATTAATATAAAGTCCCTTTTAATATAAAATATACATATCTACTTCACGTGATCAAAGGCACCTTTACTAAAGAATTTCCTATATCCCACTTCCTATAGTGGAGAACATCCTTAGCAAAAAATAACACTCATTCAGTGCATAAATAATAATAAAAGAAAATAAAATCAAATCCTTCTTCTTTTTTTTTTTTAATATGAGAGACCTCAGAGCGTTGCAGTGACCTGCTTTTCTCCAGTCCAGCAGAGGGCAATAACGCATGTCTGACCATTCGCATACTACATACTTCTAGTTCCGTTAGCTTGCAGCATCAATCTAAGCAACGAAGCAAAGAAGAAGTTAAGGCTAAAATTAGAACAGCAGACAGATCATTAGGATCGAGTCAGTTAGAAATACCAAGGGGTCACACAAAACAAGGGGAATCCGCTTTTAGCTATTTTGCCGCCCGTAGTTGGAATCAGCTTCCAGAAGAGATCAGATGTGCTAAAACATTAGTCACATTTAAATCTAGACTCAAAACTCATCTGTTTAGCTGTGCATTTATTGAATGAGTTCTGTGCGATGTCCGAACTGATTGCACTGTATTTTATGTATTGCACTGTATTTTATGCAACCCGAAATTATTGCACTGTATTTTATGTATAATCATTTTCTATTTTTAACTGTCTTAAATTCATTTTAAATCAATTTTAAAATCATTTTCAACGTTTTTAAATTGCTTGTTTTATTTGTGATTATTTTACTTTCTTTTATGTAAAGCACTTTGAATTACCATTGTGTACGAAATGTGCTATATAAATAAACTTGCCTTGCCTTGGAAGAGAGTGAAGGTGCGTCATCCATCTTTTTTCAAACCCTGTGGAGCAAACATTCAAAGTCTGCAACTAAACTTTCCGTTATTTGTTTTTAAAACCTGTTCCATCTGCCATGTCACTTTTGGCAATGTAAAGTTTTTACAGCAGTTAAAATGAGTTACACTTTATTATTATTATTATTATTCATTGTTAAACCACATATTGGGTATTAATATAAAGTCCCTTTTAATATAAAATATACATATCTACTTCACGTGATCAAAGGCACCTTTACTAAAGAATTTCCTATATCCCACTTCCTATAGTGGAGAACATCCTTAGCAAAAAATAACACTCATTCAGTGCATAAATAATAATAAAAGAAAATAAAATCAAATCCTTCTTCTTTTTTTTTTTTAATATGAGAGACCTCAGAGCGTTGCAGTGACCTGCTTTTCTCCAGTCCAGCAGAGGGCAATAACGCATGTCTGACCATTCGCATACTACATACTTCTAGTTCCGTTAGCTTGCAGCATCAATCTAAGCAACGAAGCAAAGAAGAAGTTAAGGCTAAAATTAGAACAGCAGTAAAAATGAGATGGCAAGAAGTCTGGAATAAGGAGGAGAGAGGAAGACATCTTTATCATATTCAAAATCAAGTTGGGGTTGAAAGAGTTAATTTTGGTAGTAGAAGAGAAGATACAATTATTACCAGACTTCGCATTGGCCATACTGCTTTAAATTCTTCTCTATATAAAATGGATAAGCATGAGTCTGGGTTACCAGAAACAGTAGAGCATGCACTATTACGTTGTTCTGCTTATGATAATGAAAGAGCATTTCTGTTGGAAGAATTAAAAGAAATAGGGATAGAAAATTTTACACTTAAAACTTTGTTGAATAATGGCTTGAATCATTATAAAATATATAATGCTTTAATGACATTCTTAAAAAAAGTAGATCTGTTTAACAGGATTTAGAAGGGTTTCATTTTTTTATTTATTTTTTATTTATTTTAGTTCTTCCTATTCCATCAATGGTCCACACTCCAGCCCAGTAGGTGGCGGGAATGCACCTATCGTTTGTTTGCCAACCGCCATAAAACTCCAAAAGAAGAAGAAGAAGAACAATCTAAGCAACGAAAAAGGCGAATTACCTTCACAATGGCAAGTATAGTTTAGCTCTTACACGTCCTAATATGTGCTTGTAAATGTGTATTAGCTCGTTATTGTCTCGGTTAAGGTTTTTGTGGGCTAACGTTGACTGCAGGGCGTTGTCATATAAGAGATGGCACTTAGTAACCAGCTACTGCTCGACTAAATATAATAAACAAAATCAAAAATACGTCTATTTTATCCGCAGACGGATTTTACAGAGCGGCTGTTTTGAAGGATATTAGATACTAAGCAGTGACATACGGCTTTTTTCATGTTACTTTTGCCGTTTTAATCACTTTTGCGTTTATGTTGCAGGCTGAGGTGGAAGAGACGATCAAAAGGATTCAGAGTCAGAAAGGAGTACAAGGAATCATCATTGTTAATGCAGAAGGTATCTGGCAAATGAGAAATGCTTGGAGATGTTTTAGTTTGTGATGCGCTTCAGTGGCAGCATGAAAATGATCAAACAAAGAGAACTTTGTATCTAATATTTCTATGTGCTCTTTTAATAGGCATCCCTATCAAAAGCACTCTTGACAACTCAAGCACAGTTCAGTATGCTGGTAATGTCCATCAGCTGCTCATGAAAGCTCGGGGAATGGTGAGGGACATCGACCCTCAAAATGATCTCACCTTTCTCCGAGTTAGATCAAAGAAGAATGAGATTATGATTGCCCCAGGTAAAGAGATGTACACTTACGTAATGCTTACGTAATTCCATTAGGTTAGTGCAGTGGTTCTCAAACAAACTTCCAAGCCAGAGGATGACTAAAATAATTTAAAGGGGACATCGGATGCCCATTTTCCACAAGTTGGTATGATTCTTTAGGGTCTTCATGAAATGTCTGCAACATACTTTGGTTAAAATTCCTCAGTGGTCATGTAATAAACACCCTTTTTACCTTGTCAAAAACAGCTCTGTTCACAGCGACCGTTTCGGTGCATTGCTCTTGGTGGGGAAGTCGTGGCCTAATGGTTAGAGAGTCGGACTCGTAACTTCGAGTCTCCGGTGGTCCGGCAGGAATTGTAGGTGGGGGGAGTGAATGTACAGCGCTCTCTTCCACCTTCAATACCACGACTGAGGTGCCCTTGAGCAAGGCACCGAACCCCCAACTGCTCCCCGGGCGCCGCAGCATAAATGGCTGCCCACTGCTCCGGGTGTGTGTTCACGGTGTGTGTGTGTGTGTTCACTGCTGTGTGTGTGCACTTAGGATGGGTTAAATGCAGAGCACTAATTCCTAGTATGGGTAACCATACTTGGCCACATACTTTTGTCACTTCACTTCACTTCACTTCACTTTAAATGATAATGAGCTATTGCTCACCCCACTCCTTTCTTCCATGGGGCGTGTCAACAAAAGACAAGTGAATCGCTGCCTTGGACTTCGTATTCAAATAGCTAGCTATCTACGTAGAAACCGGCTGCAATTTGAAACAGCTCGCTGCATGACACAGTTTCAGACTCGGACAGCTCATAACAAACTGGCTGTGTTTTCTTTTCAGCTTTTCTGAGCTGGCAGACATGTCAGAAACCTAAATGCAAAAAAAATCTAAAAAAGTGAAAATTTCAACTGATGGCCCCTTTAAATCAATATTTGTTTAAATTACAATAATAATTATTATTATTATTATTAAGGAATAGTTCACCCAAAAATGAAACTTTGCTGAAAATTTACCCACCCTCAGGCCATGCTAGATGAGCTTGTTTCTTCATCAGAGCATATTTGGACAAATGTAGCATTACATCATTACTATCCTCTGCAGTAAATGGGTGCCGTCAGAATTAGAGTCCACACAGCTGATACATCACAATAATGTACAAGTTAACTTCACGACTCCAGTGAAGCAAAAAGCTGCATGTTTAACAAATTCATCATTGAGATGTTTTTTAACTTTAAACCACTGCTTCCGGCTAAAACACAAGTCCATAATCTAGCCTATAATATTGACATTAATTGATGGACTGGAACCGTTTGAAACTCTTGTCATTTGAACTCTCATTCTGATGGCACCCATTCACTGCAGAGGATTCATTGGTCAGCAACTGATGTAATGCTAAATTTCTCCAAATCAGTTCCGATGAGGAAAAAAACGAATCTACATCTTGGATGGACCGAGGGTGAGTACATTTTAAGCAAATTTTCCTTTTTGGGTGAACTATTCCTTTAAAATGTTAAAACAATCTAACTTAAAATTCTACAAAAAAACAACAACAGTGGGGGATCTTCGAGCCAGTGGGCCTTTGAAACTAATCTACAGGTTTTTGATTAGTGTTTGACTAACCATGTTTTGTCTTGAATTGAATAGATGATATTTTCAGTTTCTTTTTTTGTAGATCAGGAATATGTTTTTAATATTGAATAATATTTTTCTCAATCAAATAGCTGCCAGCAGACGTGCAGACCATGTGAATGTCAGATGTGATGTTTAGGACTGACTGGGTTTTGAAGTGAATCTGATCCATTTGTTCAGAACGTGTGGTTAAAAGCTGGTGTATCTACACTGTGTGTAAACATTGTGTGTGTGTGTGTGTGTGTGTGTGTAATGTACTGTATATTTCTATTCAGAATACAAAAACCTAAACAGATGTGAGTTGTATATGCCATATAATTGTATTTTTGCTGGCTGTCGACACAAAGCTAAATATACTGATGATTATGATCATAAATTAGTAATGTATTTTATTCTGTTCTGTCCACAGACAAGGACTATTTCCTGATCGTCATTCAAAATCCTACGGAGTAGTCCTGAATTCTTCATAGTTGTTGCCATAGTATTTTTTCTTTTTTAATTAATTGCCGAAAGCGTTTCGTTTAATGTTCTAGGAAAGTGAAGTTATAGCTTATTGCAAGTATTCAGTTTGTACTGCTCTTGCTTATCATTCCATTAATTTGCTCTTTATTTTGTAATTTATTGTTCTCTCATATTCTCTTTTTTGCAACTTCTTCAGCTGTTCATCATCTGTAAGCGTCAACATGACACTATGACATACTGTACTTGTTTGTGTATGCTAAAAAAGGATAATAAAACAACAATGCATTTCCTTTAATTTATTGTTTGCCTGTATATTTTCATATGGAATGAAATGATAAAGCCAAAGTGTTATACAGTTTACCATAATGTAAAACATAATGGAGAAACAAAACATAACATAATTAGATTCATAGATGGATTTGAATGTATATGAACTATTGATCTGTTAAATAATGGACAATGTTCAAAATACTTAGTAATTAAGCTATTATAAAGGGTTACTAAAATGCAAAATAGTTGCAGAAACTTAATGTATAAGATTAGGATAAATACTTTGCAAATGTTTTGTTATTCGTTTATGTACGTAGGCCTGTACTTAAACTGGCTGCTGTCCCTTTAAATTCTGCTATGACATCACGAACTTTAGTTTATTGTCTCGAGCTGTTTTGCTTGCAGTGAGTCAGGAGCTCGAAAAGGACCGAGAATTTAGCATATAATAACATATAACGCCTTTTAGTTCCTTTTGACCACATTCAAGCCCAGTTATGCCATCCGACAGGTCCTTCAAACAGAGACGGAGCTATGGTAAGATGAGTTTTATTCGTGCTTTGTCAGCACAAGTGTGTTTGTTTTTGTCTCTAGCCTGCTAGCAGCTAGGTGTCACACTGTTTACAGTTTCCTATAAGGCTTTACATGATTATGAAATGATTTTAGAGATTTTTAGAGATACATTTAAGTTTAAAAGACGGTTTTTAACCGACAGAGGTCAGTTGGTATCCAGTGAGCTAGTCTGGCCCATAGGCCTCTTGTTGAAATAACAACAGCTTTAATCCACAGATGATTTGTTAGAGATCATATATATATATATATACATATTTTTATAATGGTGTATTGTTATCCACATTTGAACTGCCAGGTATTGGGAAGATTAACATCTATTTATTATTATCATTATCATTATCTATTTTACAAAAAAAAATTCATACTGATTCTAGTATTCTTGCCTATCTATTGATATAAATTAAAGAAAGCAGTCCTTTTATGAATATGAATTGTGATTAATAACAACATTAAAGAAATGGATGGACATTACACGTGTTGGTGAAATTATGCTGTAATTTGATCTTTTTCTCATAGTCCAGACTGAGGACAGGGTGTGGGGAGGGAGGAGCATAAAACCCTTGCATAATCTTCTTAAACCTAACAAGAACAACATATCTGCTGTTTTAAACACATCTGTAAATGTCCATCCAGGTCAATATGTTCTGCATATTTATTGAACCTTTGGGATTATGTAATTGACTAGAATGACCCTGACATGGGCTTAGTTAAGATGATACATTGACACAGAGTTGTCCCAATAAGCAAGCTAACTTGACATTGTGTTTTAGCATTTGACATGCATGTTTTTTCTCAGCGTTACTTGGATTGACCCAAACATTATGCTCTTAAAAAGACCGTTCAATTTACTTTTCTCAGATAAAATTGGGTTACTCCGGATAAAATAAGAGTACTAATCCCATGTGAAATCAGTTGTTTTACTCTGGTTTCATAGCAGACATGTCACAAATAGGCCTGTCGCAATAATCAATATATCGACTTATCGCGCAATATATGTACATGACCTCAATAATTTTTGGTGACGTAATATATCACTCCATTATATTTACTCAAAAATTAAAGGGGTCATATGATGCTTTTTTAAAGATTGAGCGCGAGACGGAACGGAACGCGGAAAGTGAAGTATACCCGGGCCTTTATTGGCTCACTGACGGTGGTGAGATTAACCCCTTAGGTATCGAAATTTGGTACTGAACGACGAGACGTTTTTCGATACTCGATGGTATCGAGGCAATTCGGTCGGTGCCTAAAAAGTATCGAACTCGATACCCAGCCCTACTTTTCATATTTATATATCTTATATATGTTATATGGTTAAAGTACAGTGGGCTATGTCAAACAGCAAGGCAACAACACATCAGCAATAATCAATCCTTACTATTTGCCTATGCATCAGGAATGTTTATTGCCTGTTTCTGCTAAACAGGTTTTACATAAGTGATGCTAATGCAGTAACTGTAGTGTTTAGAGGAATGAGGGATGACTACAGTCATGCCAATCATGTGTGTTTTTAGTTACATAAACACATCCTAGTATAGTGTTGTAGTCTATGGTCATTTAAAGTACTACATTTTTGTTTTATTTTTCTTGTTTTTCAGCTGATCGTTGCAAGGAAGTGCAGCAGATACGAGAGCAGCATCCCAATAAAATTCCGGTGAGAAACGGTTTTGTCTTATGGATGTGTCATAAATGAATTAAGCCTGAGTGAAGCCTTATTGCTTTCAAGATATTACATACATGTCAACTTGAGATTTATTTTAAGATGCTAAGATTCTTCTAAGGGGGCTTTAAAATAAGCTAAAACTAAAAAAAAATCAATATATTTCATATTTTAATTTTCCCCCTTTGAAGAACCAGGGTTCCCATGGTCTTGGGAAACCAGGACATATGAGGAAGCCAGTGTTATTTTATATCACTGAGATGCTATCATAGGTTTTATTAATATTTTGAATCATTTTTTTTATTTTTGTATTTTTCATTTTTAGTTTTTGTTGTGGGTTTTCGTCATGTTTATTTGTCATGATTTATAAATATGTCTATATAGGTTTTTATTAACCTTTTTTATATCAATTTTAGTAATTTGAGTACATCAATTACTAAATTAAAATGAGAAATGTTGCCTTGGTAACTAACTGAAATAAAAAGTTTTTTTATATTCTATTTTATTTCAGTTAACATTGATTTTATTCTGATGATAAAATGTATTATTATTATTATTATTTATTTTTTTTTAGTGCTAGTTACCTATAATAACCTTGGAGGAAGCCTAATTTTAAAAGTGTGATTTGTAGACCTGGAAAAGTCATGTACATCAGTAAAATCTTAAAACTCTATGGGCATTTTTTTATACATTTTTCTAGTTATGCTCTGCTCTAAAGTATTTTGCTGGGTAGAAATTAATAATTAAAAAAAATCCATATACTTAATCAGTAAATCTGAAACAACTGGAAAATTAATGGATATTGTTTGAATAAATATTGTTACGGACAGTTGGGGACCTTGGAGTAAAGAAGCACTGCTCTAGACCTATTTCAATACTGTGTCAAAAGACTATATAATTTGTCTTGTTTATATTTTTTATTCCAGGTGATCATTGAGAGGTATAAGGGGGAAAAGCAACTTCCCGTCTTGGACAAGACCAAGTTCCTCGTTCCTGACCATGTTAACATGAGTGAGCTGGTAAAGATAATCAGGTAAACATAATATCCTTAAATCCAATTTTGGACCTTTTAAAATGCTTTTTTTTTTACTTGTTGAATTTTTAGAACCGGGTTGTTGAGTGTACATTCCTGCATGACTTTCATTTGATATCACTGAGATACACAGAGAGCTTTTTTTGTCCATGTACAAGTCACTTGCAGTGAGTCGTGTGATTCAGTCCAGTTTGTTTACTCGTCTGGTGGGGGTTTGAAGCAGGGTGGGGGAGGGGAATGCAATGGTGTGCCAATTTTGAGTGTCTGCTGACCCCGTCATTCACAGGGGACTTCTACAAACGCTATTAAACAGTTCAAACTTGAAAACTCTTTGCACAACATCCACATTCTCTGTAGTGTATTATTTTTTAAAACAAGACTATAGTGAGCTAAACTTTCCTCTTAAAGGAAGCTTGTAGATCAGTGTTGCCTTCCAGTATTTTAACACAGACTCAAGTCAGATGATCAGACTAAGAACATTTTGTTGGACCCATGCGACCCATCATACTTCATAATCCTTGGCGACTAGTCATGACTGCTGCATTATTTATAGTTCAGACTTGAAATAATGATTAAGTGATTATCAGAATTTAAAGGCAAAGTGTGTAATTTCTACTGCACTAGCATCACATTTTAAATGGCTATTAACAAAATAAAAACGTGGACATGAATTATAAAAATATTTCAGGTTCCATACAAGTTAAGCTCAATCAACATAATTTTGTGGCTTAATTACCACAAAAAAAATTATTTTGACTCATCCTTTGTTGTCTTGGTGCTGCGTAATATCATTGCGCCTGCTGCACCCATGGTACGGCAGCAAAATTCCTTGATTATTACGCCAGAATGAGAGTATAGTTCCTAGCCTAGGAAAAATATAGAAACTCTTTGGTAATTTTTGAGCGAGATGCTAATGGTCTAATCAGATTCAATGATCTATGCTAAGCTACAGCTAAAAGTGCTACCGCAAGACCCGGAGATCTGCTGAATGGATTCGAAAACGATAAAACTCAACTGTTTAACTCTAGGGGAGTTGGAAAATGAGCCTATTTTCAAAAATAGTGGAGTGTTCCTTTAAGGGTTTTCATGGAAACAAAAATGTGATTTTTTTTTTAACACTAATATATTATCAAGCATATTGCTTGTGGCTATAGTATTGAAACTGAGTATTTTAAGATTTACTTCCATTGGAAATATTTATAAATATATATAAAGATTTTTTGCTTTTTTTAAAGCAAAATTTTCAGTCTAAGTTAATGAGGCCAGATTTCTAAAGATTTAAAGGCATAAATGTGAAGTTTTCATGAATTTTAAAACTTGTGTATAAAAAGAGCTTTAAAGCTTTTTAAATCATAATTTATACAGTTTTAGGGTTTTCAAATTGCTAAATTGGACATACCCTTACACAAATTTTAATAAGTGACATTTTTATAAGTGATATTTTTCACGCAAAAATCATATCAGGCATATTGCTTGCATCTTGTGGCTATATTATTGAAATGTTGAGTATTTTAACGTTTACTTCGATTGTAAGCATCTCACTGTAAATCAGATTTTTGTTTTAAAGAAAATGAGGAACAAGTGGAAATTGATTTTTGTGGTAATCAATATTATGCCACAAATGCTGTCGACTGAGCTGAACTTGTACTGAACCCAGAATATCCCTTTAATTTGTCTTGAATGTGCATGTTTTTGTCATTTTAATCAGTAATCAAAATGTAACTCTTTTCCAGGCGTAGACTGCAGCTCAACCCCACCCAGGCGTTTTTCCTTCTTGTCAACCAGCACAGCATGGTCAGTGTGTCCACCCCCATTTCTGAGATCTACGAACAAGAGCGAGATGAAGATGGCTTCCTCTACATGGTTTACGCCTCCCAGGAGACCTTTGGTTGCTAAGCCGGCCACTCGCCCGTTGAGGGAGGGACAGCAGAGGGAGGAAGAGACGTCAACAGGAAGCAGGCTCACCCAAATGTACTCATCATCCCTGCTCTTTCCTTGCTGGTATGAAACAAAATAAAGCCGTTGTTTCTTCTCCATGTGACACTACAGTGCAAACCACAGCACAACCGTAAACGCTATTCAGACCCTTTGCCCCATTTTAAACTTAGTTGTTGTTTTTTGTATAAGCTCAATATAGGTATTACAATGTTAATACTTTGTATTTGGCCCCAGTTGCTTTTTTTCCCTGGCATTTTATTACTTTTAGGCCGTTATGTCAAATAATTAGTAGCATATGTTCTTGTAAATAAGTGAGTGTTTATTTTTCTTTGTTTTAGGATTAATTTGCTTTTTCTGTCTGTTTGCTTATAGTAATTTCCTGTTGCCAGACCTTAGTGGTGCTGGTGTAAGATTATAAAATCTTACTTCAGAATTAAGTGCTTATTAATCATAATGTAGCGTAGTTCTCATCAAATTTCCTGTCAGACGCATTCTGTGGTTCCCAAAACAAAACTGTAAAGAGACCAGTGGCTCCAAAGGTGCAATTATTAAAATTAATTGAAGTATCAGAGGGTTTCTGAAGCCTTTATGAGCCTGTGTTTATTTCTGGGCTCCTGTGTAAAAATAACTCATCATCCACTCTTTGTAGAATAAAGATACTGCCTGACAGTAACTGTACTCAAAAGCCACATTGATCTGTACTGTACACATTTGAGCCAGAAGAACCTCTGAGATCTTTTGGCATCTGAGAGTATTCTGCAGTCCGACTCACATATTCTTTAGTAGATGCGAATAAATTGCTTTTTTTGCACACTTAAAACATCTAAGAGGACAAAACTATTAGAAGTTCAACAATTACAGCACATAATTATATTCTCCTTTATACTTGTTTTTTTTCTCCTGTCACCATACGAGCTGTATGCCTTCTGTTAAATCTCTAATGAAGGGATTGTGATGCACTACTTTGCATGATTTTTCTTAACCTTTTTTTAATATTGATTTATGCTATAGATTTAATTATTTCAGCTTTATTTAAAGCTAAAATACCAGAAAGACTTTGTAGATGTTTTGAAAAAAAAACAAAAAAAACTGAAATATGTATGTCTATGTATGTTTGAAAAATGTGTGTATAAATCATTGTACGAAATGATTATGATGTTATGTTTTTCATTTCTAGACATTTAGGGGGGGGGACTTGGATATTTGTAAGATGGGAGAGAGACACAGATAATGACAATTATGAGACAGTAAAGTTTTTCTAATACTATATATTCTTTCATGCAAATCATGGATAAAAATCATCCTTGAACAACAAAACTGCCCAGAAGTGCTAAAAGACAATTGAGTCACAATTAAAATTTTGAAACAATGAAAGATGCATAAATTCAGTTCTCAACAGCTGTCCAGTCTGTATCTAAGATATGGAAGAAAGCTTTATTTTACTAAGGTATTTAACATCTGTAATATACTGCATCTAGTATAGATGCTTTCCCCTTGAATGAGTCTTGATATATTGAGCCTTACATAGTCTATACCTGAGAGTCTCTGTATGATCAGGCAGGTCAGTACCACATGACAAAGCTGTAATGACGGCTGTTGTGTAATGTGCATGTATTTTAAGATAATACTGACCAACACTGTATGACATTGTAAAAGGTAAATCTTTAAAAGTAGCTTTAAATGCTTTAAAATGAGTCACATCATGTTTCATTATAAATGATAATGAGCTAAATGCTTTACACAACTATACACAGAAATATAAACACAAAGACAAATACACGACTAATTTTGGTCCCGTTTGTGTAAGGGTCTGTAGCATCCTGTGACCATCAGGTGGCAGTAATGTCTAGCAGGAGATGAGCAGGGAGTTGGTGAGAGACTGGTGACTGTGCTCTCTCTAACGTCTTGCCATTAGAGAGGATCTCACACGCAGCCAGTTCATGACAAAGAGCATTGAGCACCTCCAAGATATGTGCTTTCCCTGCAGATCAGCGTTGTATGGAATGGTTAATCCATAGGTGTATGGAAGGGTTAATCCACTATACACTCAATCTTTTAATTCCATCTTTATACTGTACACCAGGGTTGAAAAAGTCTGAGACCACTAGTGAGAATGCTTCTTTTTTGCTTTTTTCCTTTCTAACTATAAGCACCATTTTTTAATGATAAATTGTCAGCAAAAAAAATGAGAAAAAAAAACTATTTGGCGTGCCTCCCTTTTTCTTAACAACAGCAGCACTGCTGCTGTTATTTTAGTATCACTGAGATACTACTATAGTTTTTACTAATATTTTACATGTTTATTTTTATATTCCACTTTTCTTTTAATTTTAAAGTTTTAGTAATTGTGTTGCGTTTTTGTCATTTTTCTATTAGTTTTTTGTTTTAAATATCTGTATAGTTATTAAAGGGGTCATATGATGCGATTTCAAGTTTTCCTTTCTCTTTGGAGTGTTACAAGCTGATTGTGCATAGATAAGATCCCTGAAGTTGCAAAGACTAAAGTCTCAAAACCAAAGAGATATTCTTTATCAAAGTTAAGACTCTGCCACGCCCCCCTAAAATGGCTCGTTCTAACACGCCCCCACATATCTACGTCACTATGTATAAATAATGCCGCCCAAATGTTCACGCAAAGAAAGAAGGCGTGGTTTCAGTAACCGCAGTTAGTGTGGCATAGAGGACCTACAATAATGTACAGTATTTGAAAAATAATGTGTTTTTTGAACATTAAAGCATGTCAACATATTCTGTTACACCAAATACACAAAATAAAGATCTTTAAAAAAGCATCATATGACCCCATTAACTTTTATTTCGGTTTTAGTTATTGTAGTGCATCGTTAAAATTAATGAAAATAAGAAATGTTTCCTTGGCAACTAGCTTAAAATTTTTTTTTTTTTAATATATATTTTATTTCAAGTAATGAAAATATATATTTTTTATGGTTTTAGTTTACTATACTAATCCTGGTCAAGCTGCATAAACCCCAAAAGTTTGTGTAAAACCTGAAGATCTTGTTCTCCAGGATGATTTGAGAAAGATCCAAAGAGCATGTTGTGCTTTATTGGAAGCAAGAACATCAAGAATGATCAACATCACAAACTTGAGTTTGATTAGTGATCTATGAACAGTGTAAAATGTTACATATTTTACTAATTTTACATAACTTCTTTTGATGCACTTTTTTTTCAAAATCCCCAAACTTACTTCCATCTTAAAATAAAAAATACAAATGATAATAATAATAATAAAATCCCAGGTTTTTAAAGTGGTCTCAGACTTTTGTAGCATACTGTACACCTAATGCTCCTGCCACATTTTCACTGCATACCAGGCCAGTTAAACAGTGAAGGTTTATAAGAGCAGAGCTGGCAAGTTAAAAGTTATTGTGTCTCTTACCATGCTGAGGATCACTGCAGGACTTCAATGTGCTGAGCAAAATCTTTCCTAAAGATCTTCTCGAGACATTCTCCAATAAAAACAAGAAAATGTAACACCATATTAAATGGTAATAAATGGTGATTAAATGGCATTAAATACATTTAATGAATTTATATTTATAAATATGATTACATTAAAATGTATCATATCATTAAAATGTATATCTTTATTATAAATGTATTAATTATATATTAATGAATACATTTATAAAATAAATATAATTAAAAATAATAAAATGGCAAAATACTTATTTAACCCTAATTTCATGTGTCAGTATTAATAATGAAAATGTAATCAACCAGCCATGACATGATGAATACTGAAACTATTAATTGCACAAAATACTTGTATAGTAATCATATGTTGTCTTCATATATGTCAGGTGGATGCTGCACACTGATCATAAGAAAATCCATTGTGCTTGATAAACACTCATCTATTGTGCAGCTTGAAAACATTTACTATAGCATCACTGGGCTGACAATTCTCTACGGACTGACCAGCTCTCGCAACTGCTGCAGAAGCTGTAGCACATCCATCAGTTTCTCCTCCACCAGAGACAGACGCACCCGCTCCGTCTCCAGCATCTGCAGCTCCACGTGGAGCAGCTCCGTCTCCTCTGCCTTCTGTTGTAGCTCCTGGACCAGGGCATCCCTCATCTGCAGACACACGACACTTAACGCGGACCTTGCACGATTTAAACAGTAACTCCAACACACAATGAATTTCAGGTTAGGAGAATCTTTGCCAGATGTGCCGATAGCCCCATAATTCAGCCGAGACGCATAATTTCTCAGACAGAAATAGTTCAGATATGCTTGTTTTTGGCCTGTCTGACCATATGTCAAAAATCCACATCTGCTGCCTGCGCTCGCGTTAAGGCTCGGCCCAAATTGCTTATGTCCAGCGTGTTCGAGGATGGTTTTTTCCATGAATGTGTGTGGGGCCTTTTTAAAAGCACTAGCAACATAGTTCACGTCTGGTGCATCACAGCTGAGCTGTGTCTAACAGCTCAATGTACATGTAATTATGTAAAGCCCGGAGGTTTATTCCTGCGGTCATCTGATTGGCTGTTCACACAGACACACACGCGGCCGGTTGCTTGGGTGGGAGATTGAGTGAGAGCTGTGGTTTTTCTCTGAAGCCTGTCCTTCTCATAACAACCGCTTGTAATCAAATTTTACACCCCTGAACCCAACAGCAACCATGAACGTAAAATTCAAACAGAACTGAAAGACCTGGTTTGGTGACGTAAGGAGGTTTAAAAGAGCAGCAGCAGCTGCAGCAGCCAAAGTTTATTTGGATGAACTTGTGCCCTTGCGTATGAAAATGTCTCATTAGTATTTGGAATCTTTGATACAGGTTTTAACTGCTGGGTTACTACGTGTGTTTGAATTTGTTTTTCTTTCTGTTTAATGTGATTCTGTTCTTCAGCTGAACATGTCCTCCAGCTCAGACATTATTTGTTTCTATGACAACGCTCATAACAGCAAAATGAATCCAGAAATATTTAGTTTTTCTGTCAGTTCATCTCTGTTCTTTTGCAAAATCGCATCAAGTATTTCTGGCTATGTAAAGGCAGCTGAATAAGCACCTTTATTCATTTAGTACTATTTTTTGTTTTTACATGATCATATAAGAGAAATAAAAATTATTAATATTCAACTTGACAAAGATGTGAACTTGTTGGAAACTTGTAATTATGGTAATTCAGTCATAAACACAGCATTAAACCTTCAGAGAATGTTTTCTTTTAACCCTTGAAGAATTTTATAAAGCTATTACAGTACTTAATTAAATGGGATAATTCATCCACAAAATGTTGCTCCAAACTTGTATGACCTTCTCTCTTCTGTGGAACATTTTCTTTTTCCATGTTCCACATATTTTTGTTTTCATGTTCCACAGAAGAAAGTCATACAGGTTTGAAATGACTTAAGTAGATGATGACAGAATTTCATTTTCTTGGGTGAACTATCCCTTTAAGTGTTAAATAGGTCATGTTATCTCACAAGCTAAAAAAAAACAAACAAAAAAAAACAGCTGAATGCAGTCATACCTGGTCAGTGTCCATCTCTGCCCTCTTGGCCTGACTCTCCTTCAGTTCAAGCTGTTTATTGAGTCGTATGACCCTCTCCAGCAGCTCTAGCACAACCGTCTGACTCTCCTCTGTGCGAGAGTCGCTGAAATGAGACAGCAGCTTCTTCGCTGCTTTCTCATCACACCTGAGAGCATACAAAACACGTGAGGAACCTGGCAGTATGCTTCCCTATAAGCCATTTACTAAATCTTAACATGTTTGGATCTCATTTGATTTTTTAGATTGTACAAAAT